TAGAGCTCTTAAAAATTTGCAAACAAAAATTATTGAAAACATCCCAAATTTTACATAGAAGATAAGCTTCAGAAAAACTAAAGTGGTCATCAGCTATAAATGATTAAGTAAATGAGTTTGCCAAAAACAAGACAAAAAGAATAAATATTTAATTTGATTTTTTTGTAAAAAAATCTGCGGTATAAATTATATGGAGCCCCAACATTCGTAAAGAGCAATTATTATATAATATCTGCCAAATTTTACTTAGATACAAGAGCTTTAGAAAAACTAGAGTCGTCATCAGGTATAAATGATTAAGTAAATCAGTTTACCGAAAACAAGGCAAAAAGAATGTATATTTATTTTGAATTTTTTGTAAAAAATCTGCGGTATAAATTATATGAATCTCCAACGATCGTAAGAAGCAATTATTAAAAAACCTGCCAAATTTTACATAGTTATAAGGGCTTTAGAAAAATTCAAGTAATCATCAGCTATAAATGATTAAGTAAATCAGTTTGTTAAATAAAGAAAAAAAGAGTAAATATTCATTTTGAATTCTTTGTAAAAAATCTGCGGTATAAATTATATGATTCTCCAACGTTCGTAAGAAGCAATTATTGAAAAACCTGCCAAATTATACAAAGTTACAAGGGCTTTAAAAAAATTCAAGTAATCATCAGCTATAAACGATTAAGTAAATCAGTTTGCTAAATAAAGGCAAAAAGGTTGTGATAGTATATTTATTTTGAATTCTTTGTCAAAAATCTGCCCAATCAGTTATACGGGGCTCCGGAGGTTTGTATGCAAAAATTAATAAAAACACCTTAAATTTTACATTGAAGCAGATACTTTGGAAAAAGGTTTTTTCGAAGTAGTACTAAAATCATCATCAGCTATGGATAATTTTAAGTAAATCAGTTTGTTGGAAATGAATCGTATGTAAAATTTTTAGAAAAAGTGACAGATGGATTTCTATACTGGACCCCGCCAAAACATACTTGCATACTACTGTACACTTTGACATTAAACATTTTACAAAAAATTAGTATGCCTTATTAGAAAAAGTGTGGTTGTTTGACAATTACATGAAAATCGAGGTACCACAATACTTTTGTAGACATTTATTTTGGTAAGTGTAAAACTTTCAATCTACAAAGCTCTGAAAAATGCATTTCTAGTGATTTAATGTCTCTTAAGACTTAATTATGACATGTCACTTTATTTCGATTAATATCAACATAGTGAAAACATAAAATTGCAGGAAAAATGATTCAGAACATTTAAAATATATTTTCTAGGATGACAATACATCAAATCAAACCATTTCTTCCAAAATCTTTTACGAGAGCAAAATATGTTAATATCTTGTCAAAAAATATTTTATATACTAATCTTACCTTGGTAAATTTAGAATTTTGATTGAGTTTAATAGTTTTCGACAATTCACAATAAAAACACAATAGTTAATTATCACTAAAAATAAAACTTTACAAAAACGATCTGGATTTGAAATGAGCATTTGACACAATAATAAACATGTTCAACAACTACCAACTTTAAAGTAGTATAAAAGTGGTGTCAGTGGTTTTGCTAGATATTTTAATATTAAAATCGACTATAATAATTTATAGAAATTATAGTTTATTTTATTTGAGAAAATATATCAATTCAGAACTATCTTTTATTATAATAATTAAAATGTAGCGCAAATCTGATGTTATTTTTAGCAAAGTTATGAACCATTTAAAAAATGATTTTGATGAGAATCAATATTTTCAATTTGATAAACTTGTACACCAGTTAAATTTCTAAAACTGTGTATGATTTTCAAATAATAAAGCATTACGATTAATAAAAATTAAATATTAATCAAAAAATTAAACGGTTTTCATGAGCTGCTAGATGTCTCTTCTAATTACATTTCTATGACATCTGTCAATTCTTGCATTGTGAATTTCGTTGTCACTAGATGAGAGTTATTCTCGCAATTGTTGTTATAAAACAAATGAAAATCATTTACAATATATTAAAAAAGTGAAATATGTTCAATATATATTAGTAATATTTTGAATCTGTGCACAAACGAGGTGAGCTGTTATTTTATTTTAATATACATATTGAGAAGAATTTTATCGTCTTTGAGTACATAATTGATTCAGAATCTTTGATATATTTGTCATGGATGTGATTTAAATTGAAAATATTTTATGTACATTTACAAGAAAGATTCACAAAAAATAATAGTGTGTCTACTTATAATTTTGTATTCATCCTAACTTTATTTCGCATATTAAATAGGCAAGAAATTTCCATCATGGCTGTCGTCCAAAATTGCCAATCTACCTTTTTAGTAGTAGACTGGAAAACTTAACGAAATTATTGAAAATAAATATCTAAATTGCTATTTTATAGAGATCAGATATCAGATATTATACTCTGCACAAGAATCAGTGCACTTAAGTTAATATTGATGTACTGCAAATCTTGCAGTGTGAGCCATGAAAATCAGGTCATGTACTGAAGTTGGCATGTCTTTTAAAATTTTAGATCAATTTGATATTTAAAAATGGGAGAAACATTTTCAAAACGTGAAGATGATTCAGCTGAGGGACAATCTGAAGCAGTATCACGTTATCCAAATTTAATAGGAGACTCAAATCCTGAAAGCAATAATTTGGAATATCAAATGAATGACACAGAAATGGTCTCATCTTATTTGGAGCGTGATCTGACAACACATTATAATGAATGTAATATTTGTGGTTTAAACTTTACATCACGGCATCGGCTTAGAAGGCATGCATTACTTCATGCTTCTCGAAGAATTTTCTCATGCAACAGATGCGAAAGTTCTTTTCAAACTATGACTGATCTTAAAATTCATATGAAGACTCATCCAACAGTGGATCATCCATTTGAATGCAATTTTTGTGATAAATCATTTGAGTGTGAAACTAGTCTCTATGATCATATGAAAGAACACTCAGGTGTATATATACACACCTGTGATATCTGTTTCAAAATTTTTACACAGAAGTCGTACTTCATGTGCCATATGTGGACGCACACAGAGGGTCGACCTCATAAGTGCCATTTCTGTGATAAAATATTTTTATTGCGCTCGAATTTAAGGCTTCATGTCAAGGCTCATTCTTATGAAAATGATTTCAACAGTGCATCTTCATCACAGATTAAGGCTTCCTGATCTGTGTTAAGTTTTGATTACTGATAATACTTATCACAAAATTGTAGACTGAAAAATTTTTACTGTTCAAAGAAATTATTTATAAACTGGGCATGTTATTCCAAATTAATGAGCCATATTTTCATATCATTTTAGCATAGATTTTCATTATAGTTTATTTTATGAAGTGCAAGATCTTATTTAATTCATTTTGATTGCTTAATTATTTATGAAACCTTCATTAAGTGATACCACTATTTTTGTTATATTATAATTAAATATTGAGTTATGAGATGTCCATCTTACAAAATGCAAATGAACCTAGCTATATCTTGATTAAAGCATCATATTAAAGATATGCTTATGTTTTCGGGATATCATTTCGGGATTTTGTATAAAAAACATCAGAATCAATTTATTATGCAAGTTTTGATTATACTTCTTCAAATCACAAAATAATTCATTTTAATTTGATAGTCTTACCTTTTTTAAAGAACATTGGATTAACTTGGTCACCTAAATATGTATATTGTTTAAAAATGCATAATACTTTAGACTTAAAAGTTTGTAGTTTTGATATTAGTTCATTGATTTGCCACTATTGCAATATGCATAAAAAATATATTAATAAAATTATATACCTATTTAAATGCATTTCTGTATTAATTTATATAATCAAATTTTGAGTGTTAGTTACTATATATATAGTATGAATTGGAACTATATTAAATATTGCTTTAAATTTTAGTTTTGTGATTTTTGTAGCTTAAATATATTAAAGTTTCAAGACATCTTGGAACTAAATTATTCATATCTTGTTAGCATTGTTAGATGCCCAAATGAAATATTTAATTTTGTTGATTTTTTTTAATAGTATGATATTCTATTAGAATTTCTTCCATAGTGTAAGCTGTACTATGACATATTATGAGCAAAAAATATATATGTATTATTTAATAAAAATGCAATAATAAAATTATTCAGTGTTAAAATATGAAGTAAAAATAAACCTCATATGTTCAATTTTGTTTGGCAACTTCATTAAAATGGTTTATAGAGAACCATTATGAATTAATTAAAGTAAATTGAATTAGAATTGGGTTTTATTTACTATTGCAAAAATTGTTTAATTATTTACTCTAATGTTTAATGTATTTTTTAAATGATACTTTATAAGATAATAATATACTCAATGTATGTTATTTATCATGCACTATTTTGAAGAAGTTGGCAAATAAGTGTATTTGTCTTTTAAACATCTTACAAGCACTAATTTTTATAAATATCGGTTTACTCTTGTCTGACATGAATTGCATGTTTACCATTTAATAGAAAAATGTACTTTCAAATTTCCAAAAGATTTTTTATTCACTGGAAACACCTTACAGCAATACTATTTTGTTAAAAGATATCTATGTATAATAAATCCAAAATGATCAATTGAAAATGGAAAACAGTTAATTTAAAAGCTATGGAATTAAATTATCATTTACAGATTTTCTGGCTGAAAAAATATTGATCAAATTCATTTTTAAAAGATTGTTGAAGAACTCGAACTTGGTTTTTATTAGTAAAGTATTTGATTTTATCTACATTTTATCTTTTGCATTTTTGAAAAATAAAAATATTAATGCTATCAAATTTCTTACACTAATCAAACAAGTTATATATACCCGTTTTCGAATCATAGATAAACAAGTATAAATGCGTGTAACACATCAATGGGAATACCCCTTCTGCAAAAATAAATGTTGGCTGCTTATTGGCAACTACAAAAGCATACAATATATAAAAAGTATGTAAAATAATTAATGAGATATTTTAAAACTAATCAACCCGGGGTGCGTCGGGTCGAACCGGATGGCGCAGCACTTACTGCTCGGCGGGTATCTGCGCTTCTACTACTTGCTGCTCTATTAACTCTGGAAGGCGGAGCTGTTGGACGTTGCTGCCTCCAAAATTCTTGCCTGCCGTCTAAAAAAGCGACAGCTTCACGCGCCAATCCTGTGAGGCGATCTGCGTCTCCTTGGCGCGATCGGCATCCGGGCACCATACTAAGGGATTTTAACATTTGATTTAGAAATCAATTTTATATATTATTGGCAAGAGCTGATTTCTTTCAAAAGTAAGATGTTTGTCATACCTGACAACAATGCTAAATAGTTTGTACATACGTTCATTTATATATTTAAAACGGTAGCTAAGATTGATGGCCAGCAAGGGGTTCTATTCTAGAGCATAATTTTTCAATATTTATTTTCAGGAATTTGTAAATTGTTTAAAATTCAACTAGTTGGTTTGGTATTTTACCTTGGGGCAAGTTACATGAACTTCCCGGTATGTGTAAATAATCGACTTAATCAATAAAACTAAATTAATTTATGAGTGATTAAAAGTATTCCGAGTGGATTTATTACACATAATTGAAAACGAGCGAACACATTAACACGGAGAAATTTCTAAAAGTAAATTTTCAGAAATCAACAATTGTTATAATTGAACCAGTTTCCATAGGACTTTAATGGCTTGATATTTTCATTAAAGCCAAGTTTTAGTTTAGTTTTTAAAGATTTATTTATTTCATTTATATTAGATTATACATACATATTTCTATACAATTTAAAGCCAAGTATTCTATCGTTATACCAAGTAAAATCATCCAATTTTAATTTTAACGAACGTCAAAAAAACTATACTCATTTTCTTAAACTTTGATGAATTTTTAAAATTAAACTACTTGTCGTAAGGTCGTAATATTTCAATAAGTTGTATAAGATCATGATATATATCATCAAAAAAAGTTTCATAAAAATCGGCTCAATTTTTTGTTCAACAACAAATTACAAGAAAACGGCTCGGTAGATTTTCACCTAAAACTAATCAGTATCATTCCCAACTAATATCTTTCGAACAGTTTTTGAATTTTTAAAATCGGTTCGGTAGTTTGAGGTTAAATGTGGACGAAAAATTTAACACTTTTTTTTCAAATTACAAAGAAACGGCTGGGCAGATCGTCTCACAAAACTGACAAACGATAGTCCTCATTGAGATACATCAAATGGCTTTTGAATTTCTGAAATCGGTTCAGGCGTTTTTGAGGTAACGTCGATCAAATGTGTAATTTTGACAAATTCCAAAAAAACGAAATCAGTTTTTTGCAAACTTTGACGAATTTTTAAAGTTAAACGAGTTGTCGTAGGGCCGTAATATTTTAGTATGATCTAGAAGACTATGGTATCTATAGCCAAAAAAAATAACAATAAAAATGTCGAAAAAATTTTTTTTAACGCTTTATTACAAGAAAACGGCGCGGCCGATCTCTACCAAAAGCTAATCAGCATGGTTCCCAACCAATATCTTTCGAACGGTTTTTGAATTTTCATAATCGATTCATTTAACGCTAAAACACGCTAACACGCTAAAACGTGGACGAAAATTTTTTCACTTTTCTGCGATTTACAAAGAAACGGCCCGGCCGATCATCGCATGAAACTCAGAAACGTTAGTCCTTATCGAGATAACATCGAATGGCTTTCAAATTTTTGAAATCGGTCCAGCCGTTTTTGAGAAAACGTGGATTTACGGCAAAAAATCTGTTCACACACACATACACACACATACTTTTTCCAAATTTGGTCTCATTCGATTCAGAATGACTTGAAACGTCGAGAAAACATAAAATTAGCAAATCGGATTTTTTGATGAAACCATAATCTTCTCCTTCGGGAAGTTAAAAATAGATTTATCTAAATAGATTTTAATTATTATTTTTTATCGCATCGTTTAAAAAATGTCGGCAATTTTATTTTGAAAATGAATCAATTGAATAACATATTAGCATTGTCCAGTGCGTTAAAATAATTTTGCATGATTGTTGTAATACAACTTTTGTTATATGACGTATACACATAATGTAATATTAACGGAATTTCTTCATTATAAAGTTAGAAAAAAGCTGCTACAGAATTTATGAATCTAGTTCAATTAGTTTTCGAGTTATTCGACTTGTAATAAAACTTGTGGCTATTGTTGATTATTTTGAAATTATGACTATTAGTTAAAACTATGGTAATATTATTTAACTTTTTTCTTATTTTTCAGAGAGGCAATAGAATATTATTTCAGAAAATTTATTGGGACATTTTTTTGCTTTTTTACCCAGGTATTTTTCGTAAAGCAGGATCTTTTAGCAGCTTTTCCAAATAATCTCGGTCTTCATTTAGCGCAGCGCTTGGTTCTCTCGGTCTGCGAACGCACGTTTTTGGTCGAGTAGGAAGACACGCGCTTGGCGAACCTCTCATGGATTCATCCAATCTCAATAATGGACTATCGGCATTGCTCATTGGATATTCAGATGCAAAGGCAGAGCTGGGCAATGGGGTTTCCATCTTACTTAACCTTTGTGAGTAGATTCACACACAATGTTTACTATTTTCATATACCATAAGTGAAGTGTAATATAAGATCTAATTGTATTGTACCTTGAACTTTTCTTCTTAGAAACGGCTCCTATGGTATTTTCTATAGCCTCTTGAGTTTTTTGTACTCCTAGACGAAATCCTTCAAGATCCGGTCTAGCTCTCAATCCGCGATGATAATACATTAAACTGTGTTCAAACTCTCCTAGATGATACAAAGCTTCTGCCTTTTGATATACAGCCTGTTCATCAGATTGTATGCAATATAATTCTTGTTTAAATATAAATTAAAGCTTAAAATAAGTAACATATAATTTTTCCCATTTTGCTCCATTCTTTGTTTCACAATTACTTACAATTTACTTAGACCAACATAATTTCAAGATGTAATGGTTTTATTCCCCTTACATTCATTATAGATGTTAATGTACATTTACCTATTTTCTTCAATCTTTTTAGTGATGCATTTATCACAATAATTTATGCTAAATTATAATTTTAGAAACATTTGAAAAATGTGTTTTTATTATATTTTACCTTTATATAGTCTTTATGTAAAGCTAATGCAGCCTCAGCATCTTGCAAAGCTAATCGTGGTTGTCCTAACATCAAGTGGCAGCGGCTTCTGGCTACCAAAGCATTTTTCTCATCTGGATTCAGCTCTAAAGCCTGCAATTAATTACAGAAAATATAAGTGAATGTAGGTAAATCATTTGTGATATTTTCTGGAAATGACTATATCAGCAATTTCGTTTTTTTATAATTCTGTTTAATATTTTTCTGCTATACATAATAACAGGTAATATACTATATAATAATACCCAAATACTATATTCAAACCGTCCAATATCTGCAATTCACCCACTTTCATTTATATATTTTACTTATGTAACTATAGTAAGTAAGTAAAATATATAAATGAAAGTGGGTGAATTGCAGATATTGGACGGTTTGAATATAGTATTTGGGTTTTATATATTTGGGCATTTGAGTTTATATATATTCACTCATTCATTCATATAAATTAACATTTTTAGAACAATAAATTAGATAACCTTATGATTAAAATTCCAGTTAACAGATGAAAATTTATGTAGGAAAATAGCATAATTATACAGTTTTGCAGGAACTAACAATGTTGTCGAAAACAAATATATTATATATGTTTATTAGGAATTAGAATAATTATTTGTTCTGTTGATCTAGCATTTTTCAAACCTTATCTATAAATTCTACTGCTACTTTCGGATTTCCAGTATTCATTTCATGTTTTCCAACAGCAATTAATGCATCCGCGGTAGCTTCTTCAGACATAGCTGAAGCACCTTCGCTACCTAATCCACGCTCCTCCCTAAAGTTATTAATAATTCTTTATAAATTTTAATTTGAAATTATAGTTCATTTTGGCCCATTCAACTATTGATTGTTTATTACTTCTTTACATTTTATTATTCAAAAATTTTCGTTAATATAACTATTGTAACGTAATTCACAATAATTTAAATTTGAATTTGAAATTGCATTTCAATATTCTATTTAGATCAAATATATTTGATGAAATACTTTGCCATTTAATACTAAACATAACCTTCGTCATTAAAAATATAAATTTGTATATCTACCAAATATTACTTAAAAATAAATCTAGGTATTTTCTTGACTTTTACAGTATCCTAGTTATAAAACTGATAACTTCGGTGTCAAGAAGCCGTTTAGTTTCATCGAATTACTTTTTTTGTAATTTAAAATTAAAAATATTATTTATTGTAGATCTTGAAAATACCTTCGTTTTTGTTTTAACGAAAGTTTGATATCTCTGGATCCCATATTAACAGCTGCAGCTCTATCTTTGTCAGTATACAGTTCTTCATGTTCAATTTTAAATCGCCGGGCAACTTTCTTCTTACCTTTCTTTTTCTTCTTAGATCTTTGAGATGTTTGACCTGCATCAGATTCTTTGTGTCGTGGTGCAGCTGATAACCTTTTTTCCATCAAGATATAGAATAAATACTTCACAAATATCAACCGATGAACTAATAATAAAAATATGAAAAGAAAGTACCAAACAAAGTAACAAAGTAGAGCATATATGGTACATATATGCTCCATACCATATAAAATATTAAAATCTTCCAATACGCGTTATTTACATATCTATTAATTATCTTAATCAAAATTCAAAATGTTCGAATTATTCAAAGTTGATAAATAAATTTTGTATTTCTATTTGTATTCTATTTTCTAAGTATTGCTTTACTGATATGTTTGAATTTCTTTAAAACTGAAAATTGAACACGATATTTTGTTGAAAAGAATATAATTACAGTAATACAGAAACTTTGGTTAGAAATGAATTGTTCCAAAAAATAAATAATTGAACTGTTGAATTGTATTTTACGGCATAAACTTTAAGAAATTTGACCATGATCTGATTCTCGTATCTACATGTTTCTATTGTTTATCTATCTAATTCGATTATTTCCTATATATTTCAATTAATTATTTATATTCTACTTAATATTTTTGTTAAACCTGGCCAACCACAGCTGCCTTCGTTTTTTATTGCCTGCTTGCTCTTCACGTTCATCTTTTCCCAAATCAATTCTGACAAAACTCTGCAAAAATTCATTTTCATGAGTTGCACCAAATATATTTCTGGATGCTAATCCTCCTATTGGTGCTTTTGATTGATCAACAGCCATGGCTTAGATTGTTTACAATTTGTGTTAAATTTTTCTTCACTAATCGATAATGTTTAGTCCTTATTGAATAATATTTCAAGCCCATAAATTTGGCAAATTGATAATATGCCCAATATTTTAATATATAATATGATATTGTTTATTACACAAAATTATTCATTAGGACTTGTTAGAGATACTGTATCCAATATTTTCAAATCGAATCTGCACTAATTATTAAATTTTTTAAGTATTTTGTAAATAAATTTTAAGTTTATTAATTTATATTCTATATATTTCTTGAAACAACTTAATTTATTTGAACTGTATTTTTTTCAGAACTTTTAAAAATATCAAACATACACAAAACTTCGATCGGTTCAAGTGCTTCTTTTTGCGCTCAATGTGAGAGCTTCTCGACACCAAAGCTGTCAGTATCCCAGGTAACAAAACACTTCAATGGAGAATCAATCTTTTCAGATATTTTTGAAAGCAATTGCTTCATCATGATAACGCAATATTAGGTCAATCATATAAAATAAAATCATATTTTTGAACAAAGAAACATGATAAAGAATACAGGTTACTAATGCTTCTTAATGAATGATTCTTCACACTTAGCTATTCTCATTATGAATTTATTTGATATTTATATTTAAATATTAAAGATATGAAAATATTTTTTTAAATATATTCAATAATACTCATTTTACCAAAAGCTTTTCTAAATATGAATGTAAAACATATACTTTTCAACATCCTACACAATAACAAAAAATGCTAAAAATTGACTCAAAAGAAATAAAAAATTTATAGATGAAAATTTACATTTAATTTATAGATTAAACATCTATCGAAGGTTTATAATATTTTAGAAAAACCTTTAATAAATCTTAATGCAAACATTCTTATTTCTATTATGATTACATTGATTTAGAAATGAATATATCACCTAGTGCGCGCTCTTTAATTATAATTTTCTAATAATTTTAATTTAAATAGTCTGTTATTACATTCATCATTTAAAACTAAGTTAATTATATGGCATCTTTTGCAGTACTTTATTCTGAAAACAACTTATATATGTCTCATTATAGCAACAAAATTATTAATTTAATAGTTTTACGTAAAAAAGCGCGTGGAACTTTTTGTTCGAACGTTTGTAAGATTAAACAAAGTTTTTTCATGAATTTTAAATTGTGAACTCATTTTATAAAAACTAGGATCCGCTTGAGTGATATTTTAAAATCTACAATCTGTTGAGGGATTTAAATATATAAGAATCTGTATGACTATACGTCATAATGTAGCTAAATGTAAATGTAGCTAAATTACAAGTATACTTATTATTAGAATAAAATATTTCTATTTACCATAAAAATGGTAAAACTATTTTCAATCTTCAGTTGGGAATTAATAAAAATTTTATAGAATTTTAATACAAGAAGCTTCATAAACAGGCATCTATCCAGATAATTCAAAGAAAACTAAAATATGTTTAGACATCCATGCGCTTAAGTCCTAATTTGACTCTTCTTCAGTGCATAAAAGCCACAAATTATTTGAATATATATATATATATATATATATATATATATATATAATATATATGCAGTGGTGTTGTCGTGCCGGAACGCACCGGAACGTCGTTCCGGCAAATTAATTTTGGGCCGGAAATTTTTGGGCAAAAAAAATTAAAAAAAAATTCGCTACACGCAGAAAATGATTTTATAAGTGAATTTTATAATTTATAATTAATAATTTAACTAATTGTTATTAAGGGTTCCTATTATATGTGATAAACATACATATATATATGCAAAAAATGGGTTTTGTAATGATTTTTATTTTTTTTCTTTTCGGACGGAACCGGTACAAACATGAGAACCGGTTTTTGAACCGTTTTTTTAATTTTAGCGTTCCGGTAAAAAAATATTAGCACAACGCCACTGTATATATGTATATATGTATATATATATATATATATATATATATATATATATATATATATATATATTACCAAGTACAAATACCACCTTATATACTTATTGTTAACTAGTATATAGCATATATAATTGATAACTCAAATTCATTCCGTTATATGCATGGTATATGAAAAGCAACAAGTTACTGATGTATTCGAACAGATGGTAGCACATATTTCATTATTGTATCAATTTTTAGCAAAATACAAGAGTGAAATAAATACCAAAATTTCGAAAATGGATTCATACATTAACACGTAGTATTTTCCAGTAAACTATGAACCCATAGCCCATTGAACACCATAATATTTAATTGTCTCTTTTCAAATTATTAACTAATTTTCTTAATTATTTAGGCAGGCATAAAAATATGATTTCATAACGACTTTCAAAACTTCTATTCTTCTCGTTTGTTTATCAACATGTAATAATGGCATTTCATTCTCATACTGTCAATATGATTGTTCGGCATGTTTTCAAATTCTCCTTGTTCGAAACGACATATTCCATTGTAGTATAACAATTACAATAAACATTCATTAGAAAAGAAATGATTGTTAAACATGAATTGTTATATAATAGAAACAATAGAAGCAGCAGTGTATTTAATAGCATTATTGTGTCTTATCGGTTTAGTTTTATTTATGGATTTATTACAAGCGACGCATCGATTTAACACGTAACAATTGCAATCGAACTCACCTGATTGTAAGCTTTTAAAGCTTTGTCATGATTCCCAGCTTTCGTGTGGCTCCCAGCTTCGTCGACTAGTAAACGAGCCTCATGTGTGACGTCAACCTTTTGGGACTGTCCGCTACTTCTTCTGTCGGGCATTTTTTTTCACTTTTCACATGGTTCTTTAAAAATCAATATTAATATTGATGTTAATCACTAATATCACTTTAACCAAGATTTTTTGAGTTCTTTTCACGTGTTTGCAAATGCATTTTATTAGTTAATTGTCTAATCAAAATCAACTCCAGTCTTTAATATGTATTAGAAAACTAATTTTTTATTAAAATTTATGTAGTAGTAGTTTAGACTATTTTAGGATTACCATTGCATCCGATATAGGCATAATGTTTGAATCAAACAATTATCATGTTGCGTTAATGATCAAAGTTAGGTTTTCAATTATACGCAAAGTTAGCCATATCTGATTGCCAATTCGTATTTGGATTAAAACATTTTAACGGCAGTTTTCAAAACTGTTGAAATTTAATATTATTTCAAACCAAGTGAAATTGATTAACTATTTGTGAAATTTAGATCATTATAATGGACTGACTAGTTATTTCGTAGCATTAGAACTTCAAATCATTAATACAGTTTTAAGAATGCTTTAAAACAAATTCCTGGAACTTTCCGTACAAAAAATTATTTTTTTTAAAAAAGATTAATTTTTTTTAACTTTGAAAGAATTAGATTTTTGAGAAATTTTTAATTTTTGTAAAAAAAAACTTTTGATAAAAAAACTTTTTTTTTTATTTTGATATATTTTGGAAATTTTGAACTTTTTTCAAAGCAATCGTACTGCTTTAGACGAGAATTTGTATACGCACACACACACACTTACATCAATTTTTTTTAAGGTATGCCAAAATGTTCAGAAACCTTTAAAACGTAAAGATATATAAAAATTTAATTTTCGTTGTTTGTTGCGATTACTATAACTTATCCTACGTGTAGTTAAAAATAAGATTTCTATGTATCAGTCCAAGATGCATCTCATTATTATAGGTTTTTTAATTATTATAAAGACAGGACAGAATTATAGATTTTAAGCAAATTGAACTGTTTGTTATTAATTAACTGTTAATTGGTTAATTGACTATTTTGTTTAAACGCAAATTATTAAAAAAGCAAGTCGGCTGAATAACACAATACATACTTAAATTATTATCAACAACACAAAATTCTGAAATAATCATTTTCACTTATAATTGGATACGATAACTTTTATATGACGAATAACTAATTTCATTGCATTTTATTGTATACTTTTTGATTATATTAACTCATCAAGGTAATATATGTCGATAAAACCAATCTATACTCTTATAAAGTAATTTTCTTTTATCCATAGTTGTTTTCTCAGAAAATGTATTTCCTCAATATATTCCTAGGGCAATTAGTTATGCATGAAAGATTATTATGGGCAAAGTTATAGGGTTGACATGGCACAGACTTGTATAAAATCTGAAGTTATGTTATGTGCATTTGTCACGAACCAACATTGAAATTATATTCATTTAAATTTTAAATATATTATTAGTATGGCCGAATGTGCTGGTGGTATATAATATGTGTCTATAAAGCTTTTAGAAAAACCCATATGTTATTTAATTTATTCTTGTTTTTATGATCAAATACGCACTTTGCAAAAAAGCTATAGTTGTCTGTAATAGAAATTTGTATTTTTAGTTGGTATAATTAAAGTACAGTAGATATATTTGGTACAAATTTTTGATTCAGCAACTAGTGTGAGATAGTAGAAAAATTAGTAATATTTTGATAATGAAATAATTTAATGTTTGTAATTATTAGTCATAAAATCTCAAAATAACTTTGCAATTACTTATACATTTAGGCAGATACAAATTACATTCTAAAATTCAAAGTTTAGTCCAGGTACTACGGATAATTTTACATATGAGTACATGTATATTGTGTTTGGGATAGTTTTTACATATGAGTACATGTATATTGTGTTTGAGATAGTAATATGCATTTTTAAATATATAATGAGTTTAAAGAGAGCGCATTATTTTTACTATCAATAAAATATAATCATCGAGTAAATTATTGCATTTCTAATTAAACAGAATGCAGTGGTATATTACGATATTGGTAAAGCTTCTCTATAATTTTTATTCCAACTGTTAGACTATCTAAATTACTAATTAGTACATTTTTATGAAATCATTCTACGAAATGTCGATAAAATCTTCTGGGATTTGATGCAATGTACCTATATACCAAATAAAATGCATCACTTAATAGACATTAACTAGCTTGTAACTTTCTGCTACAAACCTTTATTTATTTAAATAATATTTTATAATTTTATTTAGAAAAAATTAAATTTTTTCATGTTACCAGGAAGCTCTAACGTAAGCTCTATCCTTGTGTAAAATCGTTCAGAAAGAATAATGTATGGCCAATACATAATGAGGTGTGAATAAAAATTCTGTGTAAATTCTAAAAATATATCCATCACAATATTTCCAGTACCACATTATACTATGTACCACATTATATTATTGTTAGATTTATTACTTTGATCACCCATATTTTTTACTTTAACACTTTTCGAACAATAATGTTCACATCTTCTTCTTATATATAAAAATGGAGCTCTCTTTCAAATGTCCGAATAAAACTCGAAAACGGCTGAATCGATTTGGCCAGTCTTAGTCTTGAAAAATTCGTGCCAATCCAGAGAATGTCCAAAAGGTTAGAAATTATTTCAAATCCGCGTAGAAACTTTACATTTATAATTTGAAAATTTTTGTAGAAGCGTAATTTAAATAGAACAATGGACGGTGGCAATTTCGTGAAATGTCAAACGCTTTTGACAGATGATTATCAATTACGTTTAATAGGATGTTTTACGCGAATATTATTTATTTGTGATAAATTTGTAGTAAGTAGTTTTGTTTGTAGTTTTATTTATACACAAAAACGTTAGTAAACGGGCCCCAAGTGTTACTAGAGACTCAAAATATAAACTTTTTCGATATGTTAATATGAAAATGCATTTTTGGCATATTTTTCTCAAACACGGTGCTCTGAAAGATCTTATTTGTATAATTATATGCTCATTGGTATTTATAAAACATTTTCTAGGTTGTTATATTATTTTTTATTTATGTTATTTAAATTCAGAACCTAAATTTGGTATCGATCAAATGGACCTTTTGTCGAATAACATTTTTCCAGTCATAATTTTCCAGAATTTATCGCAGAATAGATAGTAATATATGAAGGTCCGGGGTTAAAAAGGCCAACCACCGATTTGTCAAAAATCAGTAAAGTTAAGCATTGTTTAACAACAATATTTGAAAGTAGAGGAAAAAAGATTTATAGCCAGCTACAAGCTTGATTTGAAAACGGTAATCTTTTCCAGTTATAATTTCCCAGAATTTATCACAGAATAGATAGTAATATATGATGGTCCGGGGTTAAAAAGGCCAACCACCGATTTGTCAAAAATCAGTAAAGTTAAGCATTGTTTAACAACAATATTTGAAAGTACAGGAAAAAAGATTTATAGCCAGCTACAAGCTTGATTTGAAAACTTTGTAATCTTTGAAATGGGGGAGATAAACGGTAATCTTTGAGAATCCATAATAAAAGTATTTTCTTCCGTTGGTAGTTTTTAAGCATTAGTTAAAAATGTAATTATTTTGTAAAATACCTTTAAAACTATAATAAGGCTTTAAATCTTTTTGCCATCTGCCCGTTTCAAGTTTGCCGGGTCAGCTAGTATATATATATATATATATATATATATATATATATATATATATATATATGTTAAATGTTAAATATGAACAATACAACACTCCGGATTTTAACACACACTTTATTCGGTTATAGAACATATAGGAGTTCTGATGCTGTTCAAACAATAAAAAAAAAATTATCCGGAATTCGGATTATCCGGAATTCCGATTATCCGGAATTCGGATTATCCGGAATTCCGATTATCCGGAATTCGGATTATCCGGAATTCCGATTATCCGGAATTCGGATTATCCGGAATTCGGATTATCCGGAATTCGGATTATCCGGAATTCCGATTATCCGGAATACCGATTATCCGGAATTCCGATTATCCGGAATTCGGATTATCCGGAATTCGGATTATCCGGAATTCCGATTATCCGGAATTCGGATTATCCGGAATTCCGATTATCCGGAATTCCGATTATCCGGAATACCGATTATCCGGAATTCCGATTATCCGGAATTCCGATTATCCGGAATTCCGATTATCCGGAATTCCGATTATCCGGAGTTCGGATTATCCGGAGTTCGGATTATCCGGAATTCCGATTATCCGGAATTCCGATTATCCGGAATTCCGATTATCCGGAATTCCGATTATCCGAAATTCGGATTATCCGGAATTCGGATTATCCGGAATTCCGATTATCCGGAATTCCGATTATCCGGAATTCCGATTATCCGGAATTCCGATTATCCGGAATTTCGATTATCCGGAATTCGGATTATCCGGAATTCGGATTATCCGGAATTCGGATTATCCGGAATTCGGATTATCCGGAATTCGGATTATCCGGAATTCGGATTATCCGGAATTCGGATTATCCGGAATTCGGATTATCCGGAATTCGGATTATCCGGAATTCCGATTATCCGGAATTCGGATTATCCGGAATTCCGATTATCCGGAATTCCGATTATCCGGAATTCGGATTATCCGGAATTCGATTATCCGGAATTCGATTATCCGGAATTCGGATTATCCGGAATTCGGATTATCCGGAATTCGGATTATCCGGAATTCGGATTATCCGGAATTCGGATTATCCGGAATTCGGATTATCCGGAATTCGGATTATCCGGAATTCGGATTATCCGGAATTCGGATTATCCGGAATTCCGATTATCCGGAATTCCGATTATCCGGAATTCCGATTATCCGGAATTCCGATTATCCGGAATTCCGATTATCCGGAATTCGGATTATCCGGAATTCGGATTATCCGGAATTCGGATTATCCGGAATTCGGATTATCCGGAATTCGGATTATCCGGAATTCGGATTATCCGGAATTCGGATTATCCGGAATTCCGATTATCCG